TAATCATGCATGCGTTATCGACCGTGAGCTACAAAGTTGGGTGAAACGATGTTCACTTGCCTCACAAAGTACCATGTTCCAATGCGCATCGTTGAAGAATCCCACGGAGATCCTCGTTTCTAATGTCTGTATCGACGAGCGAAATAGAAAGAACAGATAAACGTGGGGAACAAGAGCGATATCAACATACAGAAAAATAGCTAACGAGAGAAGACGTGAAGTTAGCGATGTTAGAACCTTAGTTAGTTAGTTAGTTAGTTAGTTATCCCTCGTATAGGTGCATAGATGGCACATAAGGCAGTGACAAGAGATCTCCAACGTCGTCGGTCCACTGCTACTGGCCCCAGCGTCTCCCATGACAGGTTAAGATGTTAGAACTTGGTTATTGTGAATCGCCACTGTTGTTCAATTGACGCATGCCGGCCATTGTACGCAGTCAAGAATAATAAATAATAAATAATAAAATGGGCGATCGATAGGAGGAGTATCGAGTAGGAAGATCGGCTAGCTGACGCGTTGAACGGCGTATACCTTTATGTTGAAGATCGGGTGCTTAGCTGAGGTCGCGAACGGCTCCAGCGTAATAATTTCAATATCGGCGTCGAACTCTTCGAACAGATCATCGGCAGTCTGTAACGTACAGTCAGACGCTTGCAGCTCACCGAACGGGAGGCTAATGAAGATTGGTCACCCGGGTCTAATGGCTGACATACATCATTACAACCGCGTTGCATGGCGCAAACCTTCGCCGAACGACGCCGAAAAACAACCGCATAAATTCCGTACAATGAATTGAAAAATCGATAGGCGTCGTTCATCAGAAAGCGATGAATAAACGCACTCGCTTCATGCGCTGCTGTAGGTGAGTGACCTGGACTGAGTTCAGTAGCGCCGGATCCGCTTTCGATGCGTTTTTTATACTCACCAGTGGCTAACCGTTACCGCACATTTTGGAAGTACAACACTAATCGACGTAATCAATCAAAAATGATTCTATCTGATCGTTAATTGATATTTTTGCTTAGGTGATTCGCATGGACGAAAACTGCGTGCCCAAGACTGAATCTGGCTCTAAAATCTACGGTCTTTGCGTAATCAATTCTATTATATATTTATACAATGCGAGTGGCCCTGCCGTGTATCCAGTGGCATGCATACATAGATATATTCGGCTAACAAACATGATGTTTATGAAGATGGGGTAATTATAATATGCACTTGCGGGATGCATTTAGTTCCCGGGCACCGATTCGCTACCGCCATGTAATCTGAGGCGGTTAATATATACAAATAAGCTGTAGAATTACATCGGTTGCGTGTTTACTATCGAATTGCATCGCAACGCGCAGGAAAGCGTCCGGTAGGTCCGTGAAACAATGGCGGCTAACGCTGTCTTATTCCGAGATTATCACGAGTCTACGGTGTAAGTTATTCTAACATTCGTCAACATAGCGGATCAGATAACCATATTTTATAAGGAATCTTGCTATTGCCGATCATCAGTGAACGCTGGCAAAGAGCCTATATTGATCGATATAGGCTCTTTGACACTGGGCCGTTAGCCTAGCTGACTGGCGGTGAAACGTCAATATGGCGACCGTAGCTCAGCAGACGACAATGCTCATATCGGTCATATCACTCATATCGCTTATATTGCTCACCAATTTATATATCTCGGCTTTGAATTGCAGCACGGATATACGGGTCCAGTTATAGTAGTGACAGAGTTCACGTATCGCCGGTACCACCGCCTTCTCTGATGGCAAAATGCGAAACAGCGTCGGATAGAGAACCCGGCTTGAGAGTGCCGGATTAC